TAATGGAAGGGTGTGTGTGTGTGTTGCAGGTATAAGTCCTAACATCCGACATTGTAAATATGATAATTTTCTTATATTGAGATGCTAGGTTAGGTTAGGTCTCTCTCTCTCTCTCTCTCTCTCCTCCTAAAGACACCAAAACAAAATCATCAATTTAATGTCTCTCTCTCGACCAACTGACATATCATCTCGCTCCTTACCTCTCCTATAACACACACACACACACACACACACACACACACACACACACACACATACACATTTGCTTGTTTTTGACGCTACTAAAGGTATAAAGGAGTTAGAGAGAGAGAGACGTAGGTGTCGTTGTTACCCAATGGGTTATGTCTCGTCAAAGGAGGTAATCAGGTGGGGGACACTGGCAGGTAAACTTTCACACCTGTTCTACACACCTGTTCTGTCCCTCCCTCCCTCCCTCCCTCCCTTCATCTCCTTACCTCAGCCACTCCATCCTCCACCTCCACCTCATCTTCTCACCTTTACATTATTAAGAGGTATATTACACACACACACACACACACACACACACACACACACACACACACACACACACACACACACACACACACACACACACACACACACGTCATCAACTTTCATAATTGCAAACAATTTTCTTACTAATTAAATAGTTAATAGCTATACTGTCGACTAAACCAGCTTTAAAAGGTTAAGCTTGGAGTTACTCGCTGCTCGTTCTTAAGGTGGAAATAAAATAATTTTAATTCGTTATACAAAATGATTCGGTAAAATAACCTTTGATTACTATAAAAATCGGTTTTAAGCTGGGGGTTCGTTTTAAGCTGGGGGTTCGTAACAAGCGGGGTATACAGTGGTACAGTGGGTTCCTTATATAATTGTACCTGTAGTTAAGCACCGGTCCAAACAAGGTCATTTGACCAGCTACTGACTCTCACCTCCTCCGTGTTTTGTTATTTCATGCGGACTGACTCACTTGACTGACTCACTGAACTAAAATAATTTCAATATTAAATTTTTAGGACATTTCAATATTACGGTTTTTAGAATAATTTCAATAATAGATTTTTAGGATAATTTTAATAGTGAATTTTTAGGACAATTTTAATAATCGATTTTTAAGATAATTTTAATAATCGATTTTATTTTAATATTACGCTTTTTTTTCCGTAACAATTTTAATAACACGTATTTGTTTGTCTCTCTTACAGGCACCTCGAGACAGCATGCGGCTTCTCTTATTACTACTAGTCACTAAGGTAAGTCTTATTGTTTCTGTCTGTATCTCTGTCTTAGGGGATTATTATTATCGTGTCTATCTGTCTGTCGTACCTCTCTGTCTGTCTGTCTGTCTGTCTTGAGAATTGTTATTGAATGGCAAAGAAACGAGTCAGTGTACTGAAAATACTTTGAGGAAGATTTGGTTAATTTTAGTGATTTTCTTCTTCAGGTTTTCAGTGTTACCATATATTGCAATCTATCAGTGTTAATATATATTGCAATCTATCAGTGTTACCATATATTGCAATCTATCAGTGTTAATATATATTGCAATCTATCAGTGTTACCATATATTGCAATCTATCAGTGTTACCATATATTGCAATCTATCAGTGTTACCACATATTGCAATCTATCAGTGTTACCATATATTGCAATCTATCAGTGTTAACATATATTGCAATCTATCAGTGTTAACATATATTGCAATCTATCAGTGTTACCATATATTGCAATCTATCAGTGTTAATATATATTGCAATCTATCAGTGTTACCATATATTGCAATCTATCAGTGTTAACATATATTGCAATCTATCAGTGTTAACATATATTGCAATCTATCAGTGTTACCATATATTGCAATCTATCAGTGTTAATATATATTGCAATCTATCAGTGTTACCATATATTGCAATCTATCAGTGTTACCATATATTGCAATCTATCAGTGTTACCATATATTGCAATCTATTGCAATCTATCAGTGTTACATATATTGCAATCTATCATATATTGCAATCTATCAGTGTTACCATATATTGCAATCTATCAGTGTTACCATATATTGCAATCTATCAGTCATTACCATATATTGCAAGCCACCCGTATCGCCACAGATATATACTGTACATATGAACTACATCGAGTCACCTACTTTATACATAGCGTCTTCGGTACGAAAAATCAGAGTGACGTAGCCGTTTCGTATGTCAGGTTGTGTACACTGGAGAGAGTACTGGACTTGGGTCAGGTCAGGTCAGATCAGGTTAGATCAGGTCAGGGTTAGGTCAGGTCAGGTCAGGTGGGTCAGAGAAATAAGTGAAAAGCAAAGATTAGAAAAAACAGAGAGCAGAAAGAACAGACAAACTAAAACAACATAAAACAAAAACGAAATAAACAAAAATAATTCACAATAACAAAAAAAACTTAAAGAACGAACAAGGGGAAACAGGAAAGACCAATAAAGATATGAAAACAGAATAAATCGAAAACCAACAAAAACGTAGGAGGGAAAAAAAGTGTGAAAATACCGAAGGGACATAGAAGATAGAACAATAAAGAGTAACTAGAGGACTCAGAGGTGAAAGTAAGAGGTACGCAAGAGAGAAAGCAAAGAGTAAGTTAAGAGAAAGTGAGTGAGAGTACGTGTGAGATTAAAGAGAACCTGATCAATAAGAGAGAGAGAGAGAGTAAAGAGAGAAAGAACGTAAAGGAAATAGGAGTAAAATAAAGAGCAAATAAGAGAGAGGAAGGAGTAAATATGTTGAGAAAGAGAGCGAGTGAGAGAGTGAGATAGAAAGAGAGAGAGAAAGTGTAAAAGATTATATAAGCTAGGCTAAGTGTGTGTGTGTGTGTGTGTGTGTGTGTGTGTGTGTGTGTGTGTGTGTGTGTGTGCAGCTCCCCCTTGATCGAACCCCTCTGACCAACCCCTACCCCCCCCTCCAGCAGCCCCCCCCCCTCTACCCAAATTCCCCGTTCTTTGTTTTTTCTAATATGGCCACAGAAATTTACGATGTATTTTGGGACAAACCGTAAACACAAGATTTTTTCTCAACCAATAAAATCCTAGACTTATAAGGGTATTTTTTATAAGGACTCTAGCCAAGCTCTGTTTGTTTGTTTGTTTGTTTGTTTGTTTGTTTCAGGAACCGGCCTCACTATTGAGTTAATACAAAATAAAATCGTTCTTTTGGGGAATATAAAATTTGGTAGGAAGGAACGGAAGGACGAAGGACCGCTGGGAGGGTTAGAGGAGAGGAGGAGGAGGAGGAGGGTAGCATAGGTGAAAGTTTCGACTGACCAGCGGTATCAGCCTCCCTCCCTCCCTCCTGTCTCGTAACACACACACACTCACTCATGTGTACCCGCTCCAGCCATGTGTCTAGCATACACACGTAAGACGACGCATTAACAAACAGACAAACACACCACACGCTCACAAACGCTGACGTGAACGCACAAACACGACACTCTAAACGTACACACAACCACAAGGGAACGAAACACACACTATCTTGGCCCAGCTGCACACACACACACACACACACACACACACACACACACACACACACACACACACACACACACACACACTATACTCAAGAGGTATACAGAGGCGCTCCTGGGTTATATTTAAAGAGATATAATTATATGCTGTAGGGAAAAGGCTGAGCACCTCCGCCCTCACTTGGTGTGTGCCGAGACATAATGAGGCGGGGTGAGGAGGAGGAAGAGGAGGGAAGGAAAGAAGGAGGAGGAGGAAGAAGAGAAGGAGGAGGAGGAAGAAGAGAAGGACGAGGAGGAGAAGCAGTCTGGGTATTACCTCTTGAAGAACGGTACAATATTCGCCAAGGAGGAAGGAGGAGGACTGCGTTAAAACGGTGTCAGGATTAAAGTTCCATCCCTTAGTCGTGTTTCCTCCCCTCCCACACAACCACTAAACAACAAAGCTCGAGTATAATTATTGTTCCTTCGTATTAATTATTCCCTTCCGCCTCACTACTGTACCTCCACATCCTCTCATTATCCCTCTACTTCCTTTATCAACTTCCTTCATTATCTCCCTGTTCCGTCCGTCTATCAGTCCAGAAGTTGTACACACACGATAACTTAAACTAACACCCAAGGATTATAGCCACAATAAGACCTCAGTTGAGTATGATAATAAGGCTTTTTCCCTCAGTTGTACAGAGTTATGGTACATCGGACTTTGTTGTGGTACAGTGGGGTACAAGTGCTGGTACCGTTAAGTGTACACCGTCTGTCATGTAATGTATAAAATGAGAATACAAAAAATCCTCAAGAATGAAAAAAAAAACCACTGCTTACCTCCTTTAAGAACTGATATTCCTCGGGTCACAAGCTTCGCGCGGCACCTCAAGATGATATAGGAGAGGAAGAGAAGGAGGGGGAAGAGGGGGAGGGGGAGGGGGGGGTGGGGGAGGGATGTACAACAATTAGTCATGTGTGTAAGTAATGTCTAGAGTTACAGCTTCTTGAACTTTGTTGTGACGCGGGAAGGGGGGAAGGGGGAATGGGGGTGGGGGAGAAGGAAGGAGGGGTCAAGAAGTGTTCGCCTGTACTCACAAACACTTAGTCCAGCTCCTACACTTCACCTCTCCTGTCAACACAACGATAAATAAAACCATTGTGAAATATTGTTATGTGAAGAAGAACAACAACAAGAACAAGAAGATGAAGAGGAAGAAGAACAAGAACAAGAAGAACAAGAACAAGAACAATAAGAGCAAGAAGAAGAACAAGGAAAAAATAACAAGTACAAGAACAAAAACAAGAACTAGAACTAGAACTAGAACTAGAAGAAGAAGAAGAAGAAGAACAGAGGGCCCGACAGTTCCTCACTACACGAATATTTGTTCAGTTTTTTGTGTGTGTTGAAGGAACAAAGACTCCGTCACTCATACTTGGAGCTATCATACGCCTCTCTCTCTCTCTCTCTCTCTCTCTCACTCAATTACTTTTTCCTTCTCACTCACTCACTCACTTTCTCGCCTATCTTTCTATCACTCGCTCTCTCTCCTCCACTCACTCACTCACTTTCTCTCCTGTCTTTCTCTCACTCACTCACTCACTCAACTCTACCTTTTCTTTTGTCTTGTCCCAATTATCCGAACTGAGTGAAGGAAAACGAGAATGCTAAAATTCCCTAAAATCACCTCAATTTGTCCCTTAAATTTAACGTATCATCCTGAGAAGAAAAAATAAATATCGATAATAAATTCACCAAAATTTCTCATAAAATTTCTCACGTATGAAAATAAATTCGCATAACTAATTAAATTTCCATTAACAATTCACATAAATTTCACAAAAAGAAATAAATATATTGGTAAAAAAAATATCAATATTACCCCCCTCCCCCAAATTGGTGAATGGGATCCCAATTTTCCGTATATTTTGGAAAATTCCCTAGACGACAAAAATTCCCTAGATATGGCAAAATCCCCTAAATAAGGACTCCATGGCAGAAAACGGAGGTGATATAGCATACATAAAGTACCTGAGAGTGGGCAAGGACCGAAGTCTCCCGTCCCACCTGCCCAGTGGTGGTGGTGGTGGTACAGGTGAAAGTGGAGCTGTATGTCTGGGACTTCCCTCTCCTCCTCCTCCTCGTCCTCCTCTTCCTCCTGCTCGAGTCCTGGGAAGAGTGGGAGATAAAATACAATTACAACAGGTTAATTAAACCAAATACCTTTTATAGGGATCATTGAAGAGGTTCGAGTTCTTTTGTGGAACATTTTTTTTGTTAGGTTTTGCCAGCTGAGATTTTTTGGGGTAAGATTTGGGTTAAGTTAAGGAAAACTATTTAATTAAGATAATCCATTTTTTTATATAATTTATCGTTACTGAGATTATATTGTTTATCTTACTCTTGCTTTTTTTTATTTGACTCGTGAACGTTTTTTTAATATTTCGTTTTTGTTTACATTCTGGGTTATTTTAATTTATTAGATTCGTCTATTCATTCATTCTAGTTTTTATCCATTCTTCATCAATTTCCTTCTAATTCACTTTATTGAGAACCATTCATTCAATCATACTTGTTATACATTGTAAATACCATTGTAATTCATCATTTCATCTAAATATGTTATATGTATTTATAGTGAAATGATAATAATAATAAGCTTATACATTATACATTTACTATTGCATAAAATCTATATCAAAGTCATTATCATTCAAAAAATCTCATTAAATGGGCCAACCACAATTACAGGTACACCAATTTAAC